TAATTGTACAATCGAATAATATTCTGATTCCGGTTAAACGTGATCACGTCATAAAAGTTAGTTTAATTATTATACTGCACTAATGGAACAGGAACACTGTTTATAAATCGAAAAAATATCCAACAACCAAACGGTGTAAATTAATAATAATAGTAGTAATAACTAATAATACATTTAATTGGTTTTAATTTCTGGAGTAAGATAATAAACTGAAATTATTATAACTAGTGTTACTAATATTTAGACACGATATTTACTTATTTTACATAACAAACGGGTGATATTAAAAAGTATGTGGGTGTAATAATTTGTTTAAAATACATTTACAATTTACTATCCAAGTGTTAAAAGAAAATTAGTAGGTATGCACGTAGCTAGTATGTCTTTTTGAAAGATTACATGCACATGTCAACGTCACAAATTGAAATTATGTTAAAATTAATGATACCGATCGTTTGAATAAGCAATTTATTTTGACAATATCAGCCTTAGTCCCATTACCGTTAGGTGCAAAATTACATGGATGATATTTCTAAAGACCGTGGTAAAAATTCGCTTTTTAAATGACATAATAATATATTCTACATAAAATATAACATAATAATAATAATAATATGTGTGTTTGGTGCATACACGAAACTGCTTCGGACAAATCGTGAATTGCGACACACTAGTTTTTATGACGATGTGGACAAAATTATCAAGAGGGTAGTATTATAGTATTATAATAGCAACGTTTTATTAATAAGGGTAACAAGGTGTACCTACATACAATGTTAAACATCGTGTTGAAAGCTTAATATCGTTTAACTAATCAATCATTTGACCTCTCGACGAAGTCGATATAATGTTATAGCCCCTGTATAGCATCGGTTTTTAAGTGCCAACAACCCGTCATTATAATACGCATTTCTTACGTAGGTCTGAATTTCTAATATACATATTTTTACATTTGCCTTTTTTCTTTTTTTTTTTGCGAGAGGGTGGCCCGGGCCACTTAGGCCACTAAATTACACGTTTCGAAGTCATGCGAACACCGACGCGTTATTGCGGGGTTGCGCCGCCGACGGCTTTAAAACGGCTATAAAGGCGAAAACCAAAATATTTTCCTTTTTGTTTTTTAACTCTTTTCGCGGACGTGTCGGGCGATTGTTCGGACGAATCGATAACGTCGTGTAATAATTATAAGCGCAACGGGAGGCAGAATAATATACGACGCCGAGTGAGCTTACATTCGAATGTGAAATATACACGATTTGGTGTATAAATCACGATCGGGTCTACACTATATACACAGCTCTATGCGTCTGTTTAATTTTTATTCGGCCGTACCGAAGTCGTAAATATTATTAGCTAGGTATATATGTATTACTTGTATAAATATCGGGAATAACAAAAATAATTTATTACACGACGGTGTCGATAATATATACACAATAGCATATTATTGCGGTTTTACAATGATGTCGTATATAGTCTCTGTGTAGGACGGCGACCGGCGGGTGAGATCCCCGACTTTCTTTCTTGTACCTAATTAAGACGTCCGACTATACGCGCGTTCTGCCGACCGGGGTACCAATAAACATATATATGTATATATGTTGTTTGTGTACGTTATAAATCAACGAGGGACCGCGTCCTGCGCTGATAAGACCCAGCGAAAGTGTGAAAGGGACGACTCTGCGTGGCGTATATATACGTCTGTGCATAGTTATACATAATATATACATATATATATATATATTATATATAAATATATTTATATAGTCTTGAATATATATATGGCTTATGTGTGCGTGACTTCTCGTTATCAATCGTCGCGTTACGCAACGGTTATTGATGTGATATTCGACCACCACCGCCGACGCCAAGTGGCCGTTATTATTGTTGCTTCTCTCGGCCGAGTGAAATTAAAACATCGCTAATATAGTGACGGCGCGTGGCGGTAAAGATATAATATATAATATATATTATTATTGGGTTTAATATAACTACCTATATACGCAATCACACCGTTCGCGATGTATATATACTTTGTCGTTTGTCTTGGTCGTCCGGTCTATATCGTATACAGGGTGGTCCGAGTTTAAGCTCGCCTACGATGTTGTATCTATTTCCAAATGGAGTTTTGCGGTTTTGATAAAAAAAAAAAAAAAAATTTCATAGGATTTGGAGTAATTTTTCAAAGTTATTTTCTTTTCGGTATAGTTATAACCTTCAGTGTAATCTCTATAGTTCCTACTTCAAGTTGTTAGTCCGAAAAATAGTCATTTTAAAATTGCACCTACAAAATAATTTGTTTGTTATCTTTAAGCGACGATATCGATAATAGAGTAATGGTATAAAGTCGGTTCTCGAGTATAGGTACACTATTTATTACGATTTACGACCGATTAAAATCTGTTTTCGAAATCCTCATCGCATCATTCGGTCTACCGCGTTAGTGGGGCTGTAATAGAACGCGCGTATATATATACAGATCTATATAGAAAATATAATACAGATATCTGTAGAACCTAAATACATCGTCGGTACCTATAGACAGAGACAGAACATCAGATTTTTCGAAGTTGATACCTACGTTTTAAATCTTCTAGTGAATTCAGAAGTGCCAGAACCCTTTTCTAAAAACGTTTAAGCTTGAACATCGGACTCCTGCAGGTATAGCAGCCGAATAGGTTTTATAGGTATTTTTGAATAAACAGTTTTCGATTAGTATTACACAAGTGTCCGTGCGGAGTAGTGGATCGCGGATTTTTCGGTACACCCCTTCTCATTTTTTTTCTTTTTTACATTATTGTGCACTTTTTGTTCATTTCTGCAAATTGATTTGGAAAATTAACACGTAGCCGTTTAAATGGATCACCCCGTACATTGTATTGCGATTTATTATACCCGCGTATCTATTGTGTGTAGGTACCTATATATAATATGTGGAATAGCGAAACGCGGGTGACCAGCCGCCGCACGTGAACAGACAACGGCCGAATGGCGTGACTGGCCGAATTAAAATATCACGCCGGAGCGGGGCCTGCCCCTCCCCCGGCCCCCTCGCGCTTAGCACGAGCCCTCGGCATTGTGCCGCCCGCGAGCGTATTTATTGTCGTATATACATTATAATATATACGTAAGTACATAAGTACAAGTACAAGTATATATATGGGTATGTGTGCGAGTGCGGACCGGGAGTACATAGTGAATTTATTACGGGAAACCGTAACACGCGAATCGCGCCTAGGCACACAATGCGCAGGGGGTCCGCCGAAAATCCTTAAAAGAAAAAGGAAAAAATCCCGGCGGAGGTCTGCACTGCGCCACAACCCGACAACCGTCAGCGTCTAAAAAAAAAAAAAATTACAAAAAAAATTGTCTCGCTACCGTTTTTACATGTGTTCTTCTTCCCCGCAACACAATATTATAATATTAATTATAATAATAACCTCGCTCTTAATTACGATTTCACTTAATCACGTTACGCGCGCGCCGATGTGGAGGCGGCGTTTCCAAATCCATTGCATATGCAACTGGGTCACTGAACAATGCGGGCCCTGATGCACGGCATTCGTGGATGTGGGCACCTAGTTTGAATACATTTATCGAGCAACCCTTTCGATTCACAACGGCGACGACGACGACGATATTTTATAAGACTCGACAATATTCAGTTGCAGCTCGGAGGTAATTTGTTGAGATAATATCGGTTAGGCTCAAGACCTACTGGGAAGTGTATTGGTATAGGTAGATAGTAGATAGTAAGTGGCCCAGGAAGGTGAAAGTCGGTCGTTAAATTTTAACTATCATTCATCAATAATGTAAGTAGGTGTTCATTAGGATGGTCCTTATTATTTTATTTTGAAAACAGTTCAGTCACGGACATAAAGCACTTTAAATGAAAACACTCATAAAAATGACCCATGCTGCAAATTCTTAGCCAAATTTTAAGAGGATAAATTGTGCCATAAGGCAGCATTGAAATTTGAATTAAACCAAGTTTGACTACCTATAAATGTATTTGTGTTCAAATATGTTACCTGTAAGTCAACACCTATATATCGTTTAACATTTTTCTACAAGACTGATATTATTTATTAAGATAATAAAGTAAAAATAAAACTCATTATAATTACTACATTTGATTTTAATGCAACACAGGTAAACATTTTCAAATATTCAATAACATGTATTTAAATCATGTAATATGGTAGCTGGTGCAGCTACAACATATTATGTACGAAATATGTATGATTCTATAAATACAAACTATTATCATACATTAAACTGTACGTTATATTAGTATTTTAAATTTTTCTTCGTCTATAAACGTGGGGTATTTGTCAAAAAAATTAATGAGCCTGAAAAGATGTAATAGTTTGCACTTCAGCACTAACTATCTGAGACACGACATAACAATATCATAAAACACCGTTGCTGCGAAGCGTGGTCCTTTAATATGCATATTGCAGTTATTATTATTATTATTAATATTATAACTATCGTTACGACAAAACGGCTTCATAAATCGACGAGGCGTGGTTCGAACTGAACCGAAGGAGGACCTCGAAAAAGTTTTGAGATTTTTAGCCTTATAGCGAGCTTACAAACTGTGCGCGCGAGTGTGTGTGATGTCATTTAATGATTTGCCATAAGTAGACATCTACGCGATTATACTACAATTTTTAGTTTATAAGTGTATATTATGTCGAACTTTGCAGAAATTCAAGGTCCAAGAGGGTGCCATACATTTAGCCCTATTCATGGAACAGTGTGAACATTTTTTAACTTTTTCCATTTCATTGAGTAAATATTATTTAGTCGAAAGTATGTGCAGCGTATGTTTTCACGTTTTTAATTGCTGTTTATAATATATATTAATTAATGATGGGGTGCATTGTTTAGGAATTAGGTATCCGACTCACGCCCACACATCTGTCGACATCCATCCCCTGGACATAAAATTATAAGGTGATAACAACTAATTACTCCAATGATTGTATTTTCAGAAATACTATTCAGTGATACGCCTAAATTCAGTGACCGCATGGACAACTTAACAGTAACCGTCGGCCGAGATGCGATCCTCGAGTGCGTCGTAGAATCTCTGTCGACATACAAGGCAAGTTCATACGACTTACGATTTTATAATAAATATTACCCCAGTATTATCGCTTGAATAATTATCATTGTTGTGTCTGAGTTATTCAAAATACTATGAAAAATATAAGGTAAAAAAAAAAAAAAATACCATAAGTGTTAAAATAATTTAAAGAAGTACCTATATCTTATTTTTTTAATATTTTATTTTAATCCTAAAACAAATCGCAATCAACTATCACCGTGTTATAATAAAGTTTTAGACGTTAGGTACACTACGGTCTACGAGCGCCTCTTTAGTTCATCGGTATCTCGATCAATTTATGTATCTGTATAATTGATCTGTTTGAGTTCATCCACATTATTTAATAATTATATTCAATCTAATATTTATCACGTTCATATATTTTGTAAAAAAATGTATAAAAATAAAAAAACAAAACATGTTTATGTTTATTGATATATATATATATATATTATGTATAGGTAATATATCATATGTTTGAATCTGCCGGGTCCATGTATCAGTGAATGAGTAGTGAATGAGAGTACCAGACTACCGTACTACCTATTCGTAATTAAGCGAAAGTTGAAAACAGTTTATACTAAGTTCATTGATTAATTCAATTTGTTAATTTAGATTTAAATCCCATTCAAACAATGCATAACATTTTTTATTTCAATCACATTTTACGTTTTTAATTTATCACATTGATTTAATCAATTCAACAGTTTGGCTACTTTAGTCAACTGGATTCGATTTTATAGTGAAATAATTTTTCGAAATTTCAACCCATTAATTTTTCTTTAAATATACAGTTTGTGAATATACGATCACCTGATTCTAATATTAATACAATATTAATTATTTAGTAATGCAATATAAGTATATAATATAGCTTAATAGTTACTAATAGCTAATACTTTTAATTTTCAATGTTTGTTTATGTATGAATAGGTTCCGTACGTGTAGTACTGTAGTACCTACTGTAGAGTGTGCACTCTTAACTTATACTATACATCTGTTTGACAGTTTATATGGTGGCATATAAATACGGTATATATTATGTATTTGCTCTGAAAAACATAAGTTTAATTTATATATACTTTATAATATGTATTAACTAATAATTATATTATATATGTGATAAAAACGTAAATTTCATATATAAATTTCATATTCAATAACATAAAATAATGGATAACTTGTCTCGTATAATATATTTTTACTAACATCGACAGTTAACACTTCACGACTTACATAATATATACAAAGTACCTAACATTATTATTTACATTCTTATACAACAGATTTTAATCAGATATTTTTTTGTAACAGAAACTTATATTTTAGATTTTATATTCTTAAGCAAGATAATTTAGTGAAAATATTGATGGACAAAATATTGACTATTGGACCAATATATTATAATGGATAACTCTATAGATAGTAAAATCATTAAGTAATAAGTTGCGTTAAGGGTAGTAGCAGGGCGGTTACTTAGAATTTTACTTCTTTAATTTAAATGCCTATAAATAATAAAGCTTTGGCTCAATAAATCGATAATTCTTCATCAAAGTATACTTAACTAAAATATGAAACTAAGAAAATAGTATTTATTTTTAAACCACGAATAAAACCAAAAATGATGGGGACAATAAATATAAAATAATTGAATAAGTAATTCAAATTATACGTAAATTGTTATGCAACTATTTCAAAACCACAAACATTTACTCATTAAATATAAACAACTTATATCAAATAAATCAAATTTTATACGTACAGTGGATATTTTTCCAGACATTTATTTCTCAAAATTATATCACTATATACTATGTACGATATGTACGTATTAGAACAAATTAACGTAACACACAATTAAACTGTGATTTATATATACGAGAATTCAACTTTATTTTCTTTATCTCCTTAAGAGACTAAGAAATAATTGCAGAAAACCTAGTAAAAAAATTGTCATTACCGTTCTCTATAAAGGTGACCTACTCGTCAGTCGTCAGTACCAAACAGTTAAATAGTTACACAGCACACTGTAGTAACGTAGAACATAATAATGATTTCTGAGAAAAAGTATAAAGTGAAAAAAAATACGTTTAATGTTCTTTTGGCAGTCAATAGCATTAGTTGAAAGAAATTACCAGATTACTTGATGTTACTTTATACGTGTTTATTATATTAATGTAAAATGTAAGACGAATTATGTTGATTTTATTATTTTCATATTAGCGAATAACGAAGATTACTAGTCACTAAAGTTCATCGTGAAATTAAAGTAATAATTAAATTAAAAATAACGTTCTACTATGAGTATTTGATGCTATAAAAAATACTAAAAATACTGCAAGTATAATCTATTTTTTTATAGTTAAAAAAACCATGGAGCTATATGTTATATAATAATTATGGCTAATTGGCTATAATATTTTGAATAATATTAATTATTATCACATATTTATAATTCAAATACTGAAAGCATGTACCTAAATCCTGAGTACATAATTAAATTTACAAATTGTGATTTTTCTAATTAAAAATGGTAATTAATTATATCGAGTGTAAATAATTATTGATTATGACTAAATTAATTTAGTTACAATTAATCATTTACAATATCAATAATTAAAATAAAAAATAACAAATACTGATGGTTTAACTTTAAAAAAAGGGTAGGCATATCACTCTGTTGTATATTAGGTGTTTTGTGGGTCACTTTAATTGATGTGTAAAATTTGAATTTATTGATATAAAATCATTATGTACGAAAAACAATTCTGACTGAAGACGGCCTATATTAGTATATATTACTAAGCATATAAACTATAGTTTATGATATTACTGCTATTAAAGTAATATTATATTCCCAAAAATATTGAATTCGAAAATGTCATTATGTGCATAAAATTATAAAATATAATTATATAGTTAGGTATAATAAAAGTATCAAGTACCTACAACTAAATAACTAAAAATTGTATTCTTTGTTTTAACTTTAAATATCAATTTGATGTCTAAATTTGAAGGTAAGATATCTATCTAAAATATGTATACATTGAATGTATTTATACATAAGTATGATTTTTTGAGTTACAGTATTAACTAGTAACTACACATAAGAAACCTTGTTTGAAATTTTCAATCTTTAACTATAAAAACTAAACATAATTTTTTTCACTAGGCACAATATGATTTGCAAATTTTTGTGATTTTGATGAATTTTGTCAAAATGTACTCTATAAATCCTTATAAAAAAATCCAGGTATCTTTAATATGTTTAAACTTAAATTATAAAAACTTATGATTACCCTTGAATTGAATCGTCCAGTTTTTTGATCCAGCAAATAAATGTAGATATCGATGTTTAAAGAAAAAAAACTATAAGTTATGAAAATGTCAAATGTCTATAAATAGCCCAAAAGTTTCAAAATATTTTGAAAATTATACCATGGACAGACGATGTTTATATAAACATTTTATGAAAATTTTAAGTACTGAATATCTTTAATAGGTTAGGTAAATCGTTTTTCAAATTCAATAAAATAAAAATCGTTAAATGAGAAATCTTTAATTTATGGTTGAAATGTTATGAAAATTTGAACTTCAAACGACAAACGCTCGTAAAAAATAGTTTGACTTTCCACTTAACTTTTTCTTTCAACCACAAAAATTTTTCAATTTTTCATGATTTATTCGAATTACGTCAAATTTCTTACTTTAGACGCTTTTAAAAACACTATTGTGACTTAGTATTTCTATATTTTTTAACGGTTTATGAACAAGTTATGAGGAGCTTCTAACTACGAAAAATGTTATATTAACTTTAATAGAAAAAAAACAATACAATTGGAAATAGTTAACTTATAGTGTCTATAAATAACTCAAACTCAAGTGTTTTTGAATCATAAGATAAAAACAAAATAGATTTCGGGATTGCCGTTAATTCTTAATTTTGCACTTTTTGTATATTTCGAAGTAAATAAAAATAAAAATAATTTTAAAAAACACACTATAGTAAAATCAATACATTCATTACAATGTTCTAGTGCTTACAGCTTAAATAAAATATATTGGTACATTAAAGATTAAAATGCTGTATTGTTAAATATTTTAATAATAAATAATATTGCTTTATATAATAATATGCTGAAGTTTAAAACCATAAAATATTATAACATTATGCAAATAAATAATATAGTTTAACATTATAACCTATATCCTAACGTTATGAACAACACAATCATTACAACCGGTATATTTTGCACTGTAAATTATCATATTAGTATATTATACATTAAGGTCGAATTTGCAGGTACACAAAAATATGCGGGTTCCATGTATTCATAGTTCTCTAGGAAGTTTTTTTTATGTTCGAAAAAGGGTTATTCAAGCGTTATGATTAGGTTAATCTTAGGTATTCATAAATTATGTTTACACTATCCGCATATGCGTGTAAAAGTTAAAGAACACAGTAAATTAGTTTGCTTAGTGACTTTTAAAAGTTGTTTAAAGTAAGAAAATCAGAATCTATAATTATATAAATTGCATTTTAATTAAACAATAATAATTACTCAGCTCTTTGAAATGTTTAATTCAATACCTAAGTTATTTATGATTAAAATTATAATTATAACATATATTTATTTTGCACTCTTGCTCTACCTATTAGGTACATAAATAAACGTGCTTATAAAATTGTTCTAATTTTCACTATCTTTAAAATGTATACTTTACTTTGGACTCAGAAAGTGTTGGAGAGGCCAAATCTAAACGATAGCATATCATTGATAATTGATATGCCAATATTATATCAGTTCAATACCTGGGTAGCTATAGGTATATTCTGAATTCTGATTATCATCAGGCTATCACTTGGCCTTTTGCAAAACTCCAAATAGCCTTGGCTTAGGGTTATTCAGTATACATTTATATGATCAGTGATCGCCCTATGTACTGACTCATTTAATCCGCTTATTCAATATCAATACTTGTGGTGATATTATTTT